ATTGTTCTCTCTACTTGTATCTACTTGAGGTAAATGTTCAACTCATATGCCTGTCTTTTGTTTGGCTGGAAACCACAGGTGTGGGTTCAGTTCCAGACCTGAAGGGCAGCTAGGGGCCGTAGTCTCAGTGGTTCCACCAGGCTCATAGATTAATTTTTGCCGTTCTTTACCTTACACAACTGGAATCGTGCAGTGTATAATCTTTTGTATTCAGCTTTTATCTTTGGCATAATGCTTTTTAGATTCAGCCATATTATTGCATATATCTGTAGTTTGTTCCTTTTTACTTATGAGTAGAATTCCATTGTATGATTATGCCTCCTATTGATGAAACCTTTGGCTGTTTCAGTTTTGGGGCTATTTTGAATAAAGTATTTGTACAGTCTCATACAAATCTTTCTGTAAATATGTTTTCACTTCTTTTGGGTCAGTACCTAGAAATGGAATTATTGGGTTATAGGGTGGGTATAATGTTTAGTTTTACAAGAAATTCCCAGATTTTTTCCATCTCTATCAACAGTGTATGACTTTTATTTGCTCCACATCTTTACCAACATTTTATGTTATGTGTTGACTTAATTTTAGCCATTCTGGTGTGTGGTATCTCATTGTGGTTTAAATTAGCATTTCTTTGATGACTGATGGTATATGGCATTTGTTCATGGGTTTACTGGCCATTCCTGTAACTTTTATGATGTCTCTGTTCTAATATCTTGCCTATTTTGAAATCAAGTTGTTTTGCTCTTTTAGTCTGGATTATAGTCCTTTGTCAGATACATTTGTTTTTGAGTATTTTTCTTCTTGTCTGTGGTTTGCCTATTCACTCTCTTAACAATATCTTCTGATGAACTGAAGTTTTAATTTTTATGACGTATAATTGATTACTTTTCTTTTATAGCCATATTGCTTTTTTGTGAATTAAAAAATCTTTGCCTACTTCCAAGTCTTGAGAGTATTTTCCTTTGAAGGAATTAGTTTTAGCTCTTGCATTTAGGTCTCTTATCCACCTTAACTGTGTAAAGTAGTGGTTGAGGTTTTTTTCCATATAGATACCTAGTTATTCCAGCACCGTTTTTTTTTTTTTTTTTTTTTTTAAAAAAAAAAAACCTCTTTTCTTTCTGCAGGGATTGCTTTAGTGCTTTTACCCACTGTCATCAAGTCAATTCTGACTCAGAGCAACCCTATAGGACAGGGCAGAACTGCTCCATAGGGTTCCCATTGGGTTTTTTTTGTTTGTGCATGTTTCGTAAAGGCTGTAAGTTTTTACAAAAGCATACTACCTCATCTTTCTCCTGGAGAGCATCTGGTGAGTTTGAATCACCAACCTTGTGGTTAACAACCCAGTGCTTTAACCACCAGAATTATTTAGGAAAAATAAAATGACCATATAAGCGTAGGTTTCTTGCTGGATTCTCCATTCTATTCCACTGATCTATTTGTTGATCTTTATGCCAGTAGTACACTGTCTGGATTTTTGTAGCTTTAGCAGAAGTCTTTAAATTGAGTAGTGTAAATCTTTTATATTTGTTCTTATAATAGCTGTGTAGGATCCCATTTTATTGATCATATCACCCTGTTCACTCACATTGCCATCTGTTGTTGTTGTTAGGTGCCATTGAGTTGTCTCCAACTCATAGCAGCCTTATATACAACAGAATGAAACACTGACTGGTCCTGTGCCAGCCCCATGATCCTTGCCACACCTGAGCCTATCGTTGTAGCCGCTGTGTCAATCTATCTTGTTGAAGGCCTTCCTCTTTTTTGTTGACCCTCCACTTTACCAAGCATGATATCCTTCTTCAGAGAATGGTCCCTTGTGACATGACCAAAGTAGGTGAGATGAAGTCTGGCTGTTCTCATTTCCAGGGAGCATTCCGGCTGCGCTTCCTCCAGGACAGATTTGTTAGTTCTCTTAGCAGTCCATGGTACTTCCAGCATTCTTCACCAGCACCACAACTCAAAAGCATCAACTCTTCTTCAGACTTCCTTATTCATTGTCCAGCTCTCACATTCATGTGAGGTGACTGAAAATATCAAGTCTTGGGTTAGCCACACCTTAATCTTCAAGGAGACATCTTTGTTCTTCATCACTTGAAAGAGGTCTTTTGCAGCAGATTTGCCCAATGCAATACATCTTCTGATGTCTCTTGACTGCTGCTTCCATTGGTGTTAATTGTAGAACCAAGTAATATGAAGTCTTTGACAACTTCAGTCCTTTCTCCATTTATCAGATGCTGCCTTATTGGTCCAGTTGTGAGGACTTTTGTTTTCTTTATATTGAGGTGTAATCCGTACAGCAGACTATAGTCTTCAATCTTCATCAGTAAGTGCTTCAAGTCATCCTCACATCCTCAGCAAAGTTGTGTCATCTGTGTATCACAGGTTGTTAGTGAGTCTTCCTCCAATATTGATGCCACACTCTTCTTCATATAGTCGAGCTTCTTGGGTTATTTGCTCAGCATACAGATTGAATAAGTATGGTGAAAGGATACAACCCTGATGCACTCCCTTTCTGATTTTAAACCATGCAGTATCCCCTTGTTCTGTTCAAAGGACAGCCTCCTAATCTATGTACAGGTTCCTCATGAGTACAATTAAGTATTCTGGAATTCCCGTTTTTCTCAATGTTATCCATAATTTGTTATGATCCACACAATTGAATGCTTTTGCATAATCAATAAAACACAAGTAAACATCTCTCTGGTATTCTTTGCTTTGAGCCAAGATCCATCTGAAATCAGCAGTGATATCCCTCATTCTGCATACTCTTCTGAATCCAGCTTTCATTTCTGGAAGTTCTCTGTTGGTATACTGCTGCAACCGCTTTTGAATTATCTTCAGTAAGAATTTACTTGTGTGCAATATTAATGATACTGTTTGATAATTTCCACATTCTGTGGGATCACTTTTCTTTCAAATGGGTCCAAATAAGGATCTCTTCCAGTCAGTTGGCCAGGTAGCTATCTTCCAGATCTCTTAGCATAGCCAAGTGAGTGCCTCCAGCATGGCATCCACCTGTTGAAACATCTTGATGGATATTGCATCAATTCCTGGAGCCTTGTTTTTCGCCAATTCCTTCAGTGCAGCCTCAACTTCTTCCTTCAATACCATTGGTTCTTGGTCATATGCCATCTGTTGAAATGGATAAACATTGACCAATTCTTTTTGGTACAGTGCCTCTGTGTATTCCTTCCATCTTCTTTGGATGTTTCCTGCATCATTCAATATTTTGCCCATAGAATCTTTCAATATTGCAACTCAAGGCTTAAATTTTTTCTTCAGTTCTTTCAGCTTGAGAAATGCTGAGCATGCTCTTTCCTTTTGGTTTTCTAACTCCAGGTCTTTGCACATTTCATTATAATAAATGACTTTGTCTTCTCGAGCTCTTTGAAATCTTCTGTTCTGCTCTTTTATCTTGTTATTTCTTCCATTTGTTTTAGCTACTCTTCACTCAAGGGCAAGTTTCAGAGTCTCTTCTGACATCCATTTTGGTCTTTTCTTCCTTTCCTGTCTTTTTAATGACCTTTTGCTGTCTTCATGGATGATGTTCTTAATGTCATCCCACAGTTCCTCTGGTTTTTTGTAACTGGTGTTTAATGCATCAAATCTATTCTTTAGATAGTCTCTAAATTCAGGAGGGATGTATTCAAGGTCATATTTTGGCTCTTGTGGACTTGTTTTAATTGTCTTCAACTTCAAGTTGAACTTGCATATGAGCAGTTGATGGTCCATTCCACAGTCAGTTCCTGGCCTTGTTTTGACTGAAGATATTGAGCTTCTCTATCACCTCTTGCCACAGATGTAATTGATATGATTCCTGTGTACTCCGTCTGGTGAAGTCCATGTGTATAACCGCCATTTGTGTTGTTGAAAAAAGGTATTTGCAATGAATAAGTCATTGGTCTTGCACATTCTATCATGAATCTCCAGCGTTATTTCTATCTCCAAGGCCAAATTTTCCAGCTACCAGTAATTCTTTATTTCCAGCTTTTGCATTCCAATCACCAGTGATAATCAACACATCTTAATTGCATGTTCGGTCAATTTCAGACTGTAGAAGTTGGTAAAATCTTCAATTTCCTCATCTTTGGCTTTGGTTGTTGGTACGTAAATTTGGCTAACAGTAGTATTAACTGTTTTTCCTTGTAGGCTTATGGATGTTATCCTATCACTGACAGCAGTGTACTTCAGGATGCATCTTGATACATTCTTTGTGATGATGAATGCCACACCATTCCTCTTCAGTTTGTCATTCGCAGCATAGATCATATAGTTGACTGATTCAAAATGGCCAAAACCAGTCCATTTCAGCTTACTAATGCCTAGGATATCAATCTTTATGTGTTCCATTTCAGTTTTTACAACTTCCAGTTTTTCTAGATTCATACTTCCTACATTCTATGTTCTGATTATTAGTAGATGTTTGCAGCTGTTTCTTCTCATCTTGAGCCTTGCCATGTCAGCAAATGGAGGTCCCAAAAGCTTTACTCCATCCTCATCATTAAAGTCGGCTCTACTCTAAGGAGGCAGCTCTTCCCCAGTTGTATTTAGAGTACCTTCCAACCCGAGGGGGCTCATCTTCCAGCACTATATCAGAGTGTTTCACTGCTATTCGTAAGGACATCTTAGAATGCTTAAATGCATGCAACACTGATGCTTTGTTTTATAGAACACAAAGGTCTTTGTTAATAATACAGCTGTACAACAGAATACTATGGATCTATAAAAAACTGCATATATTCTGATATGAAATAATCCCCAAGATGTCTTGTTAAGTGAAAAATTCAAGATGCAGAACAGAATGTACAGTGTGCTGCCATTTGTATGGCTTGGTTTGTGGTTTTCTTTGTGTGTTTGTATAGTGTGAGGTTTTTTCATTTGTGCATGTTTTGAAATTTTTAAGATATTAATGTGTCTAGATTCTCCAGAAGGATATGAGGAAACTAGAAAAGTGATTGCTTTTGGTGAGAGAGACAAGAATTCGAGGGAAGAATTTTATATCCTTTTGAATTTTTTTTCACCATGTTCAGTACATGTGTATGCTAAAAAATTGTACTTCTAAAAACTTAATTTCATATATTTAACCAGGAGTAGATAGTTAAGTGGACTCTTGGGAACCAGTAAGACAAGGTAGTAGCCCAGCAGCCACCTATGGGAGAAACAGGTAGGGAACTAGGAGTACAGTAAGTAGTGATATTAAACTGACCCTTCAGAATTGTTTTTATAGAGTAAGGAATTTTAGGCCATGTATAGTTGTTATTTTTTTTCTACTAAAACTATTGAGGGGGAAGAAAAATATATGAATTAATTTAACCACTTCTATGAGTATTTTTGTTGTGATAAGAGTGAGCATGTTTATGTATGAGTTTCCTCATAAATTTTCTTCATAAAGGCCTCTTTAAAAAATATTTGACAAGTATATACTATCAGCTACTTTTAAAGAATTACATAGTTCAAAATCTAGCAAAACCAGTTCTACAAAAGTTCCTAATTTCTGTTTTAGAGCCTAAGAACTCTGTGCTATTTGCATGAATCTGGGGTTTTTTTTAATTTATGATGTAGCTAATGTTCCAGTGTGCCTTTTTTTTCCCCCTCTCCTTTCTCTGTTTTCAAGGCTTTGATAAAGTTCAAAAGTTATTTGTATTTTGAAGAAAAAGACTTTGTGGATAAAGCAGAAAAGAGCCTAAAGCAGACTCCTCATAGTGAGGTGAGTCATGGTCATACCTCAGAACTAAAAGGCCTTGAAGATTGGGTCCAGCCCCCTTATTGTCAAAATGAGGAGATAAGTCTCAAAGAGGACTGAAGGAAGTTGCTGGTAATACAGCTAGCCAGTAGCAGTGCACGCACACACAGGCTCACTCTGCTTCCCACTGTTGTATTTTCTGTAGTCTTGTGCTGCTGCTAAAAGAGGGAGCCCAGGGTTCTTTCAGGCTCAGTCTATAGGGAAAAAAGTGTAAAAACTGTTGCGTAATAACAGAAATCTAGAGGAGATTGAGGAAGCAAGTCATACATACTTATTCTTTCTCAGGGGGTATCAAGAGCAGAGAAAGAAACACTAGAATAGGAGAGGAGACTTTGCTCTGTGACCCTGAGCACCAGGAGCTATAAAATAGCTCACTCAGCATTTTCTAGAACTTTCCCTGCTTCCCCTTCCCAGGGTCATTGGGACGATGTCTGCCCAAGGTCATAACACAATCAAAGGCTGGTACATCTGGTCCCGCCACAAGGACCAGAAATTAAAGGAGAAAAGGAGAAAGAAAGTTCTGAGCTAGAAACATTTTTCCATAAAAATGCAGTGAACCACCTAGGATACTAATAGAAGGGAATATAAGAAAATTAAAGAAACTTGGATTCAATTCTTCATAGGGAAAAATAGTCAAGGGAAACAGTTAATAGATCTAGGTATGATACATCCAGAGAAAAAAATGGGTTTTTCTGGGAAGGTAAGGCAAAGAAAGTTGCTTTAGCAAAAGGAGCCTTTTCTGAAGTTAATATATAGAGGTTAAGAGAGACTATTCAGAGTAATTAGTGGACAGAGAGAAGAAAGAAAATGAGTACTATGATAGAAGATATGGACATCTTCAAAGCAGAAGTAGGAACCTCAGAAGTAGGAACCTGATACAAGGTAAAGGGACAAAAATTAAAAACTTAAATAGGTATAGTTTGGAAGATCAGTGAAGACTAAATTACTTTTTATAAATATAATATAATGAATAATCAAATGTAAAACTATTTGATTAAATTGCATAGGATTTCAGAAAATAAGAAACCAGAAAACCACCTGGACTGGTGCATGTAAAAATACTTTGGAACAGTCTAAAGTATTATATATGAATGTAAGATATTTTTGTTATTACACAAGCTATATGCTTTTCTTGGGGTATATTATGACAGTGGTCTGGTATAGTGGCAGCACTTCTAAAAGGTTCTCCAAGTAAGTTCTTTTGTTGTTTATTCTCCTTTTAAATTCTAAAGTAAAACCAGTGGTTTTTGTTTCAGATAATATTTTATAAAAATGGTGTCAATCAAGGTGTGGCTTACAAAGATATATTTGAGGGAGTTTACTTTCCAGCCATCTCACTGTACAAGAGCTGCACGGTATGTATCATGTTCATCCTGTGAGCGTAACTTGAGGGCAGTAGGTGAGGTTGTAATGAAAGAGCTACTGATTGAGTTCTAAAGAGAAGGCTGAATAGACCTAAGAGCAAAATGCTACTGTTACTGGGAGGCTTTTGGGAAAGATTTCCTTGAATAAAGGCCTTGCATTTGGGGTAACCTATACTTTCCTTTGCACTCTATGGAACACCCATTTTTTAATGTAAAGGATGTGAAGTATATGCATTCAGAAATCAAGTTGGTCATGCTATGTCATGATAACCTACCTTTATTTGTTAATTACTTTTGCTGATACTAATTTTTTCTAAGTGTGATCCAGCAGGAAGAAGGAAACTGTCTTCCTTAGGACCTGTTAATTTAAAAAAAAAAAGCAATTGAAAATTTAATGCTTGGAGGTTTCCATGTATTTTCAGTCTGTCAGTAGCCACTAAGGAAGCCAGTAAAATAAGGAAATCTGTAGGTTGTGAACAGAAATCCACACAAGTCTATTTCATTTACCTAATTCTTCATGGATATTCAGGTGTTGACCACTTTTAGCAATTTAATAGACCTCATAAGTTCCAGGTGGACCCTGAGCATCACAACTACATTTTAAAGAGGAAATTTTCCCATGTCAAATTAACTTTTTCAGTATTTTTCTTGTGTTCATCCATGTCTGTTTGAATTTAATTTATCCCAGGTTTCTATTAACTTTGGACCATGCTTCAAGTATCCTCCAAAGGATCTCAGTTACCGCCCTGTGAGTAACATTAGAAATGTCAGCATTGCATCCTCAGTATCTTTGTTACTTCTTGGCTGTGGTTATTTTAATCATCCCACTTCCTTGTTTCTTGTTCTTCCTGCAGATGAGTGACATGGGCTGGGGCGCTGTGGTAGAACATACTCTGGCTGATGTCTTATATCATGTGGAAACAGAAGTGGATGGGAGGCGGAGTCCCCCATGGGAACCCTGACCAGGTCCCATTTTCTTTTCAGACATGGACTTTCTCGAGAATGATACTGGGTTTATTTGTTTTGTTTTGTTTTTTTAATAGTTTTAAGTGTCCTCTCTAAGATGGTACAGAACACAGCTTCTGCTTTTTGCAAGTTCAAAGTCCAGGGTGGGAACCAGGGCAAACTCCCTGCCTTTTTAATATCTTTCCTCACTTCCAGCGAATGCTCTTATATTGTGTACCATATGCCAACAATTGCTGACCCCACAGTTACGTAAATTTCCTGTGAAATTGGTGCTGTACCACATATCCCTCCAGCTGGGATTTGTTATATTACTGTATTTTCTACAGAGTGAATAATCTTGTCTGAGTAGGCGACTAAAGATATTTCCTTCTGTGGGTGTTGACTCCCTGCCATCTGATTTCCATGGAAGTGGTTGGCTTATTTATGAGAATAGCTGAATCAATAGCTGTACATTCCAAACAATCTAAAAGTTGTTTCCTTTTGGTGCAAGTTTGTTTTTGTTACTAATTTTGAAATACACTTTTGACCACTGGTGTCTCTGAAACTAATAAGGTCTCTAGAACTATAATTGTGAAAGGAACTTGAGTGCAGCTTTAACAAAGGTAGGAACTATTCCCAAATAAAACTTGTTTTAAGTTTGTGTGACATTTTGGTTCCCTCAGATTTGGGTGTTCTTGGTGACAGAAGTGTGGACAGTAAGAGGAGGGGCAGTGGCACTAGAGGGAGAAGCCAATTTCTGACTTGGATCTCAGCTCCTCTCCTGTTGCTTCTATCTCAGCCACCCCATCAACTACTCCCTTCATTTTGAGGAAATTGCACTTTCAAAGAAGTGAACAAAAGTTTAAAGAGCTAATGGATTCTCTCCTACTCTTGTCTTTGAACTTGGCTGTTGATCTGTTCAGGTTGTTTTCCTGCCTTGCTTATCTTCCTTTGCAATACTGATGGTTAAAGGACAGTGTCTAGAATACTAAAAATTGAAATATATGAGCCTGCCTTTGGGATGCCTTTATGCCTTTCCTTTTTCATGTGCAAAGGGCACATCAGTCTTGTGGCAAATGCAGCCCTCCCAGGATTACCCCAGTGACTCCCTGCATATAACTTTATACCTAGGTTAACAGGTAGAGTGGTTCACCAAGACATAAGTGATATGTTGCCATAGAATCACCATACATTATATCTGTGGCTCTTCTAAATATGTTCTTGTCATTTTCCTATTTAAGAAATTTCAATATTTCAAGAATATTGGTATCCTAACACATTAACTTTAACTAATATATTTGTCTTCAGGTGAATTACCTTGAACCTTTGTTTAGTCCATTCACTACTCCACATCTCTTAACAGGAAACTTGACATAGAACCAATATTTTCACAAGCTAGAGTCTCAGCTTGTCATTTCTAGATACCTAGTAATTCTTGGGCAGGTCTTAAAAGCAGATTTGGTTATAGAAACTTCTGGATCTTAACAGTTTGAAGGACTCCAGGAAAATGAGGGTGATATTTAGAGGAAGATAAAGGTAAATTCTTTGTAATATAAATTACCACTTACAAGTTATATACCCACTTGCCCCCTAAATTATAAAGTTAGATTTTTATGTTTGGCTTTCATAAATCAGAAGTTACAGAAGTATATGGAAGGAAACTTTCTTTGTTGGTTACCAAGGGTGGGAGGGGAGGGGAGGGAACACTGCAAAAATAATAAATAAATAAAACAGAAGTTACAGAAGTAATGATTTTGCTGGTTTATACTTCATATTAAATATGTGTGCATGTCTGTGTGTGTATACGTGTGTGTATATATATAGTTGTCATTATTGTAAACATTCATTTGAAAGGCTCAAAGAATATCCATTCTTCACATTTGTTGTTGTTAGTTGCCATCAGGTTGGCCCCTGACTGGTGGCAAACTCATGCACAACACAACAAAATGCTGCCTAGTCCTGTGCCATCACTGATCATTGTGACTGATTTTTGGAAGTAGATCACCAGGCCTTTCTTCCTAGTCCATCTTAGGAACCTCTGCTGAAACTTGTTCCACATCATAACACACAAGCCTTCACTGACAGTTGAGTGGTGGCTACTGATGAGAGATGTTAGCTGGGAATAAGAATTCTCACCCTGGAAGGTGATAATTGTACCACTAAACCATCATTGTCCCCCTCTTCATACTGTTCTATATAAGATAGTTTCTGCAAGGAAGTCATCAGTGACAACTTGTTTTATTCTAATGTAAAATTAAAAGAAGTGAGGAAATTGTCTCCCCAGACATCACAAAAACAGTTACATAGTTTGAAGAAGACAAATTACAGTCCAGCTCAAAATCGTAATTGTTGTTTAAAGCCCATTTATTTACCATCAGCCTGTTTTCTTTTGAAACTGGAGTGTGTTTCTTTACACATCTTTTAAAAAGTAACCATTTTCTTTTAGCTGGAAGGGGATGATAATTCTGTTCTACAGATACTTCTACAATTATCTTCTCTCATGAAGCTCTCAGATAAACTGTGATTTCATCCTTGCCAAAAATAGCTTACTCTAAGAAACAGTCAGAATAAATAACAATAAATACTTCTATCAATTGTAAAATTATAATACCTCAATAAATACTAGTATTCCTGCTATTGTTAATTTGCTTAATAAATAAGTTAGAGCCCTGTTTGCAAATGGTGAAATTATCAATGCTGTTAGAACTAGAATGGAAGAGCTTCAGGTAATAATGGTTGATTCTTCATCCTATTGATAAATTTTAGCAAAGTAATCGTAATTCATATTTTTAAAGCATAAGTTCCTGAATCCTGGAATGGGAAATTGCTGTCACTATATTCCCCTTCTCCCTCTAGCCACGTCCTTTCCCAAAATAGTGAAATATTAAGTAGCTTTGAGCTAAGATGACAACTGTGGCATTCTCTTACAACTAAGTGATATCATAAATGGTGGCAGGGCTAACCGGGAGCTGATGTACTAGGCTCTGAGCTGAAGTTTCAGTACCCTTTTTAGATGTAAACAATCACTGGTGGGAAAATAATAAAGTTTGTTTTTGTTTACCTTAGGAACATTGTTCTTTCTTATTTTTGGCACTGTCATTCCTTTTAATTAGAAAAATAAAAATCCTCAGTCATAATCTTTGTCTTCCAGTGCCCATTAATCAGCTATTAGTTAAGAGTTCTAGAAGAACTGATTTTAGACTTACCATGGAAGTTTTTATAAAAAATTCTGATAACAGTGTCTAAATAATAATTGAATGGCACAAACCTCCAGTAGTTTCTTTCAAATGAGCTAGAGGAATTTGTTTTATTTTTCTTTGCCTAGGACTTCTCTAGTATGAAGTTGCAATTTCCTAAAATAGATTTTTTCAAGAATAGAATTTTAAAATAGGTTCCAACTGATGTTTTTATGTCAGGATTTTTTATTCTGACTAGTGCTTATGGAAAAAGTGGGGACCAGTCTACTAATTAGTTTTGAATTTTTCATAGAAGAACCTTAGAATGGATTTCTGGAAAGTACCAATAAGACTTCCTTTGTTCAGTCACTCTGCCTGCAGGGAATGAAGTTCTTGAGCCCTTAAAACTTGAAGCCCCAGTGCCTGTTAGCATTCCCCACATTCAGTTGGCTAGTAGCGTTTTAAGATGTTTTGAGCTGGGCATTTGTACAGATATTTTGAGAGCCTTAGCCTTTATTTTATAGCTAACCAAATGAAGTGGGAAGGCTCTTCCTCTATCCAAGAGCCTCATCCCTGTTTTCTTGGAATTTTACCAAGCTGAGTCCTAGTATCATACTCCGCACACTGCAACCCCATCCTACTGAGGGTCTCAAATAGACTCGCAGGCTGCTAGCAGGGATTTTTCTTGAGCATGCACGTTGACACAGCTAGAACAGTTGGGAGTAGCAGGCTGGTCTTTAATATCTGGCTTCCGAGACCAAGTTGGCATCCAGGCGGTGGCGCAGATGGTTGGCAAAATCCAGCTGGGTCTGTGATAGGACCTGGTTGATGATAGTCTTTGGCAGCCACCCCTGCCAAAAGAAGAATTAGTAGAAGATAGAATTTGGTAGTCTTTGAGTGATACTGCACTCTAGGCCTCTCTGCTCCCCATCACAAAAAATTATGGGTTGCCTGGTACTTGATTTCCCAGTTCAGTTTGTAAGTGCAACCTGAGAGTTGACCAGGGTCAAGGGCTGGAGAACCTCATTGCCACCCTGCTGTCATAACAATGTCAGAAGCGTAGGATTTAGTTTCAAGACATTTCAACTCTGTATTTTCCCAGTCGTGTGACCCTGGGCAAGTTAATTCCCCTCTCTCACACTTAAGATTTATGAGCATAAGTTTTCTTTAAAATGATAACTAGAGTTGAAATTTGGTGTGAGATGTAGAAGGGAGCCATTGCAGGGTTTTGAGATGGTAGAATATCAACTAGGCCATCACTCATGTCCCTTTCCTCTCTAACAGTCTAAAAATAGGAGAGGATTCCTCCTGATCCATGTGGATGGAGAGGGAAGAGCCTGTTTTTCTCACTGCCACCTACTCCCTGAGCTACCTTCCTTTCTCCTCACCTTGAGGTCAATGTTGAGTAGCCAAGTGAGTTTGGTCTTTGAAGGACTTCCAGCTAGGGGACGAAGCACCATGCAAGTGGGACCATGCTCCGCTCTGACAAATAAATAGAGGAAGAGTCAAGAAGAGAATTCAGAGTTCTTGCTAAGGCTGACCAGTTACACTAGCCATGTTTCTAGAGCATGTTGTCTTACCCGAAATGTTGTCAGGGAAATACCCTTTGCCAAGAATGATACCTAACGTGTTAACATGGTTACCAACTCATCAGAACAGATGCTGGAGCAGAAACCTGGAGACCCCCTGCATGCCTTTTAGTTGCTAGATCATGGGGAGGTTGGGGAAAGGCTCCATGCTGGTGGCTAGGCCCTTGGGACACTCAGGTAGCAACTGTGTTCTAAGTGGCATAAACTATTTTAAGGTTTTAATTGCCAGTCTAGGAGCATATCATGTGAACCTCAACCCTGCCCTTACTTTAGAAAATTACTAATCTATTTAAACTTTCTGGGGTGCCAGAACAAATTGGCTGTCTAGGATGGGGCCAATCTTGTCTTTCTCCCCTGCTTTGGAAAATGAGAATCTACTTCCTTTATAAAGGGCTTTGAGGATGAGGACCATCACAGCCTTGGTGGGTGCATGCCCATGGACCTGTGTTAGGAGAAGGGAACTTTGAGCCTGCTGCCAGTGTTACCTGATGACCCCTTTCTGCTCAGGCATCTCCCCGAAGTGTGTAGCCATGCCAGCCAACACACAGGTGGAGCCTCGGCGCTTGGCACAGCGCACACTCACAAAGTCACGGGGCCCCACGAGGTTTCCTGGAGATTCTGCAGCCAATTCATGGGTGATGACTGTATCTTTTCCAATCTTCTGCAGAACCTACCAGGCCACAAGAGAACCAGAGTCACTACTTAGCCAGTACTGAGACTTTGTTGTTTGTTGTTATGTACCATTGAGTCATCCCTAACTCATAGCAACCCCTCCTTGGGTTGCTGAGGCAATATCACTACAGAAGTAGATTGCCCAACCTTCTAGGCACCAGCCAAAGCACAGGTTGGCTTTAGTCTACCTTTCAGACTAGGTTCTCTTGGGTCTCATCACCCACACCTATATTCTCCTCACCTTGATCTCCTTGACATTGGGGTTCCACTCTCCCATTGCCTCCATGTGGTCCACGAGCTCTTCATAGAGCCTCTCCATCGGCTGGTCTACCACCACCTCCAGCCGGAATACCTTGCCCACATCTGGGACCATTTTACTCAGCACTTTGTCCCCATTTGCCTGTCAGGAACAGAAAGGACAGAATAAAGGTTAGAGAAAAATATTCCTAGCCAAAGGCACATAGACAATGCACTAGGCAAAGTAGGAGGAAACTCACTGCCATTCAGTTGGACTCATAGCGACTCCTCCTTGGGTTTCCAAGGCAGTATCATTATGGAAGGAGATTGCCCAGCCTTCCTTCTGAGGAGCGGCTGGTGGGTTTGAACCTACAGCCTTGTGGTTAGTAGTCAAATGCCTTAGGCACTACTCTACCAGAGCTCCTAAAGTAAGAGAGGAAGAGCAGAAAACTCCAAGCTAATCATGAGGAAGTCTGGGGCTATTTCCCATTAATGTAAAGTAGGTTACCTCCCGTCACAAGCTTCAGATGTCTGCTGAAGACAAAAGAGGTTACCTATCTGCCCCTGAACTTTTTTTTTTTTTAAGAGTTTGTTTTACGTTCAATGTTAAGTGTACATTCAGTTTCACTCCCCATTTACCATGCCCAACCCTAACCCAGTCTCCTCCCCTACCTGTTTGTTTGTGGTTTGGGTAGGTCCAACTAAAAAGACCCGTATTTGAATTTGGAAGTTTAAAGATGTTGAGAGACAAATCTGGAAGCGGGGAGAGTACAACCAACTACTTCGATATGTAGAATATTGGATGGAATCTTAGAGATTTTTTATTCCAATACCTCGTTTTACCCAAGAAGGATGTGGAGCCCAGAAGATTCAATGGTCTGCTCAGGTTCCTCAGCTAAGCAATGATGAACCTAAATTGTCAAGTATGCCAGTACTTGACTCTCTGGCATACATAATTTTACTGGCTTTAATGCACTTCACAGATACTGCATGTTTTACAAATTGAAAGTTGGTGGCAACCTTGCATTGAGGAAGTCATGGATGCCATTTTTACCATAGCATGTGTTCATTTCATGTCTCTGTCACATTTTGGTAATTCTCACAATATTTCAAACTTTTTCATACAGTAATTTGTAAACATAACTTTTATATGCACTGGGAAACCAAAAAGTTCATGTGCCTAACTTTATTGTGATACTTGAGTTATTGCAGTGGTCTGGAACTGAACCTGCAATATCTCTTAGGTATGTCTGTAGTTTGTTATCTCCATTACCCCAAGAACTTGGGGAAGGACAGGTTTTACCTAAACTTTGGGTAATGGCAGCATGTAAACTTCTGCTGAGGAGCTCTGGTAGCATAGTGCCTAAGGCACTGGCACTTGGGTCAGAGCATCTGGCTACTAACCAAAAGGCTGGTGGTTTGAACCCACCAGCCACTCTGGGAGAAAGATGAGGCAGTCAGCTTCTATAAAGATTCATGGCCTTGGAAACTTTATGGGACAGTTCTATTCTGCCCTGTAGGGTCTTTATGAGTCAGAATTGACTCAATGGCAGTGAGTTTGGTTTTAAGGATGGAGGGACAGTTTCTCAAACCAAAGTTTGCAGATAGCTTTAATGGGGGTGGAGGTGATGTCTGGGATATATTCTTGGGATAGAAGAATTCTGAAGTTAGAAACACTTGCCACCTGGTGACTGCTGCACAAGGAATCTAAAAAAGAGCATGGACCCTGGCTGACCTTGATGCCAGTGGAATATTGAGCTGTGGGCTCCTCCATCCTTACCTGTTGGTTCTCCTTCTTCCAGCCCTCCTGGTTGCTAAGGATGCCCAATGCCTTCTGCATGGCCTGTTCTCCCTGCTGAATATAGGCCATCTCCTGCTCACTGTAGAGAGTCTCTTCTAGCTGAGAACCTGGGTACACAGCCAAGGAGACAGAGCTTCCTTCAGCACCCCCATCCTCCTACCAGATTTTATCCCTTTGATATCTAGATTTAATCTTTCCCCTGAAAAGCCAAGACCAAAGCCATAAGGTCCAGACTACAGCTCAAGTTAAAACACAGAGCATCTGCAGATGACAGGGAGGGAGGGAATCTGCCCTTGAGAAACTGTATTCCCATCCTCCCAAAATAGAGCAAGTAAGAAAGGGGGGAGGGGGCGAGGTGGGAAGGACTGGAGCCACGTGACTCTGGCAGAAGCCCCAAGGCCTCAGCACTTACCAAGCAGAGAGCTTCTGCACCGGACCTGGTTAATCCATGCATTAGGGGCCGGGCCCCCCAGTGCCCTCCTGTTCAGCTCCTGGCCAATGGCCAGCACTGCTTGGTGCCTGAGGCCTGCAGGAAGTAAAAGAAATGGTTCCCCAGGAACAGGTATTGCTTAGGAAAGGACCGTTCTACCCACCGTCTTGTCACAGATGAGAAAACTGGCCCAGAGAGAGGATGTGACTTGCTTAGGAACACACAAATTCCTAGTAGAAAACCTGAACTAGAACCAGTTCCCTGCTCTTTACATTCCACCAGGCTGCCTCCAGGGCCCAGAAACCTGCTGTCTTCCCTCTAGGGCAGTCGGAGCTGATTCTGCTGGAGGCAGGTGCTGCACCAGAAGTCTATTTGAGTTTCTCCCCCCACAAAAGTGAGAGCTTTGTTTACACAACCAGGAAAATCCAGTGCAGGAGAATAAAAGGAACTGTCCCCTGAGGACTGTAGACTTGCCAGCAGTTAGGGTCCCTTGCATGAGTAAAATCCTCAGTATGACACTGAAGTCTGAACAAGTTAAGTCTTACTGGGTTTACTGAGAACAACCCAACTGCTAAGTGCAGGTCTTCCAAGCATGACTTCCATCTAAATGGTAGTTAATACAACCCAAACTATTTGGAGCTGGTAAAGTGGAGGGTCAGCAAAAAATGGGAAGGTCTTCAATGCGATGGATTGACACAGTGGCTAGAACGATGGGCTCAGGTATATCAAGGATTGTGAGGCTGGTGCAAGACCAGGTAGTGTTTCATTCTGTTGTGCATGAGGTCGCTGTGAGTCAGAGCTGATTCAATGGCACCTAACAACAACAACAGCAACAAATGTATTTGGAAAGGACTTGTTTAGATGGCAACGAGATTGGCTTAGATGATGTTGGGGTCCTGATTAGTTCTACAAAAGTGGCATTTAGTAACTGGATTCTGCCTCCTCCCTATTGTCCAATTATGACTTTCCTCCCTTACCACTTTCTCTCATCTTGCTCTTTTGATGTCTTAATTCCCTTTCTTTTCCTTCTCCTCCCCCATCTCTCCTCTGCCCATGTCTCAAGCTTACTGACACTGCTTATTGGATCAAAGCTTATTTCTACTACTTATAGTAGCTTATTTTGCTACTACTGTGGCAAAGACATTTTCTATTACCCTTGGTACCAGCCACCTCTAGCCCGTGAGGAAGGCAACATCAGGAATAGTTCAAGAAAACTAGAGCCCTGGAGGGGAGACCAGAAATGACAGAATCTGGAAGGGACGTAGGTATCTTACTATTCAGTCCAATGCTTCAGGTGGGAAAACAGTCCCAGAAGGGAAAGGACTTGCCCAGGCTTACCCAATTAGAGACATAGATGGGATCAGAACCTGGGTGGCCTGACTCCCAATTCAGTACTTTTCCCACTGGATCACATTGCCTGAGAGCTCTTGATTACCACCCAAAAAGCCTACTTGTGCCTGGGGAAACTCACCTTTCATGTTGCGCATGTGTCTGTAAGAGCTTCCAGCACACAGTTTAAATGTTGCTAGTAGCATTGTTTCCTGGCAGGAGGGGAAGATGTGGTAGTAGTGATGCTGCTGCTTTTCCTGCTGTTGGTTGCTCTCGCCTCTGCTCCCAAGGATGGTGCTTCTGTCCTGACCCTGTCAATGTCTGTCTTTAGATGCTGCAGCTGTGATGGATCCCAGCGGGTCTGTGTCTTAAATACCCCAGCTGAAGGCTATGCTTCATCACCAGGAGATAAAAAAAGCCATCCATCACTCACTGTGCAAAGGAAGGGGTCAAGGATAGAGGGATTGCCTCATACTGCTGCTTTGGCCATTTGCGGGGAGCACATGGGGGTTGGGGTTAGAAAGGAGTCGAGAGATTGGTGCCAGATTCAAGGATGGAGGGAACAGAAAAAGCAGCCCTGAGATCAAGGTAATTTAAAAGAAAACATACATCTGTGGGTGGCAGTTCTCTTAGAATTTAGGGTACTTCCTGTTAAATGCAGATTTCAAGCCCTAATCTTCAGAAACTCCAGATTTAACATTTAGAGTTGAGGCTCTATGACGTATTACATTGGGCAAATCTGCTTCAAAAGACCTCTTTAAAGTGATAAAGAGCAAAGTTGTCACTTTGAAGACTAAGGTGCTCCTACCCCAAACCATGGTATGTATATATATATATATTTTTTTTTTTTAATTGTGATTTGGGTGAGGGTTTACAGAGCAAATTCACTTTCCATACAGCAGTTCACATATACTTTGTCTCATGACATTGACCATAGTTTCCCACAATGCAACAGCTCCCCTTGCACTTCCTCCCTATAGTTACCTCTTCCCTGTGTCCATCCCACCATGCACTCCTGCCCCCTGAGCTGTCTCCCTGTGCATAACCAGCTCTTCTTTCTCCCATGATTGTTCTCTCCAAGGAGTGTATCTACCTGAGGTAAATGTTCAACTCATATGCCTGTCTTCTGTTTGGCTGGAAACCACAGGTGTGGGTTCAATTCCAGATCTGAAGGGCAGCTAGGGGCCATAGTCTCAGTGGTTCCACCAGGTTCTATTGGACCAGCAACAAACCATGGTATTTTCAGTAGCCTCATATGCATGTGAGAACTGGACACAGGAAGACCGCAGAAGAATTGATGCATTTGAATTGTGGCATTGGCAAAAACTGAAAATACCGTGGACTGCCAGAAAAACACACAAATCTGCCCTGGAAGATGTGCAGCCAGAATGCTCCCTGGAAGTGATAATGCAGACTTCATCTCATACTTTGGTCATGTTGGCAGAAGCAACCAGTCCCTGGAGAAGGATATCATGCTTGGCAAAGTAGAGAGTCATCAAAAAAGGGGAAGCCTCTCAAAGAGAATGATTGACACAGTGGCTGCAATGATGGGCTCAAGTACGGCAATGATTGTGAGGACGGTACAGGACCAGACAACATTTCATTCTGTTGCGCAGATCATTTGGAACCAACTCAATGGCACCTAACAACAACAGAGTTGGCACTCAGAATCATATATTAAAAAAAGAAAAAAAAATTCCCAGATGATTGTGATCCTGTGGACTACACTTTTGAGAAACACTGCCCCTGTTCTTACAGATGGAGATATTTAAGTCTAGAGAGTGGAAGTGACTTGTTCAAGGTCAAAGAGAGGGTCACTGGCAGGGGTAGGACAACACAACAGTCCCTCTTTACAGGGTTCCTCCTGCAGCCCCCTGGATACTTTCTTCAACTGTTCATTTATTTATTCATCCATTTATATAGATATTTACTTATTCTGAGTCATTTCTTAGTGGCTCTCTCTTAGAAGTTGGTGCTGGAATGAGGGTGATGATACCTCAGGGCTGAGAAGGGGTTCATCCCTATAAGCTCACAAAGCATAGGATAGAACTGGACAGAGAAGTAAGGAGAAGGGGACCTGGGCCTCAGCCACTCCCTGAACCCTTCACTCTCCCTGACTAGCATAGGCTGGGCTAGCTGTGCCATGGGGGTTGGCAGGTGCAGAAAGGTTGAAAAGACAGAGTATTGGGGTGCTCACTCCAGTCTTTGTACTTCAGGGGTCCTGTGTTGTTAAGGAGACATTCTCTGTTGTTTGTTGTTATGTGATGTCAAGTTGGACCAGACTCATAGTGACCCCTCCTTGGGTTTCTAGGTGATATCACTACGGAAATAGATTGCCCAACCTTCCTTCCAAGGAGTGACTGGTGGGTTTGAACTGCCAGACTTCTGGTTAGCAGTCAATGCCTTAGGCACTACACTACCAGAGCTCCTAGACATTCTCTAAGCCCCCAGATATTATCCTCTGCCAATTACCACACAGCCATTCAAGTACAGTCCTGCATGCTGCTGTCTGCCGAAATCCTTTCCATTTAGAGATGACCTTGAGGTTGCTTTTAAGCCAGATTCCTCTGGCAGTATTATTGGGGGTAGAGAGAATCACAGTAGATTTTCTCCCTGCCCAGTCCTTGCCTCCTGTGGGTGAGAGAGTTCTGTGTTCTGTCACCACTGCCCCCAGGCAGAGAGAAGACTGGAAACAGAGAACAGTAGCAAGTCCCCATCTGCTCTCTCTCCCTTATTCCAGAGAGGATCACAAGGACAGGGCCTGAGTCTGGAGCTCACACAGAATAAGGAGAGTGCTGCAGCCCCTGTCTCAACCCCTGATGAAGCAGTGGGAGGAGTCCAGCAACCCAGAGAGCCCCTAGTCCTGGTCTCCTTTCTGAGCAGCAGCTGCCTGCAGGGCCCTGCTCAGTCCTCAAGGCCCATCGAGGCTCCTCCTCCTCTGTGAGGCCTTCCTTGACCACCACCAACTTTCTGGAATGTCTTGTTCCTCTGACTCACACCCTTACTGTCAGTACCAGTGGAGGAGTATATCTTGGTCCTGATTTGTTTGTGTGTGTCTACTTGTCTCTTCCTCCTCGGGTCAGGCATCATGTCCAATTCCCCTTCCAAACCCTATCCTCACCATAGCATCCAGTTCCAGGTAGGGTATGGAGCAGACTCTTGCTCCTTCTCTACTGGGTGACCAATTGGGAAAGCAGCTGGAGGTGTAGGTGCATCTTTGGACTTAGGAAACCTGCCTATGGGTGTTGCTCCAGCCCTCCCAGTGTTCCAGAGTCGGTTTCCAGCCTGTGCCTAGGCCCTTTGGCTTTTAGAAACATGGAAATATAGAGAGGAAATAGGTATAGAGAGGGTGCTGGGAAGCCTGAAATGTCAGTGACCCAGACTTCTCTTTACTTGTATACTTAGGACACGTGCGGCCTCATGCACATGTGTAACTGCCCTTGGTGGAGGTGGTGGGGAAGTGGTTATTATGGAACAGGTCACGCAGATAATGTTCAAGGCCCTGCTGTTGCCATCCTGTGGAGAATTATGGCCCTTCTGAGAGAGGAGGAGATGGGGTGGGGAAACTGGAGGACTAAAGCTTATGGCTGTTACTGATGTCAGAAGGCAGCCATTGGCTCCAGGAGGGTGTGCTGTGTGACCTCCTCAAAGGCCAAGGCTCTCTCCCACTCTTCTTCATCCTTTCCAAACTAAATGACTAGTTAACTCTCTCTGTGCCTCTGCGTAATAAGGGGGAGAAAGTCAGAATTTCCTCTGGTTCTGGACGTCATCTGTATCTGGCTTTGCTTTTTGATGAGGGCAGAACCCTTCAGGGAAGAAACTAGGTGAACATACACTACAAGCAGGGTATAACCAGAGACCTGGCTTAGGCAGTGTAGAGTGCTGGAAAGAAGGCCCCAGTGATGGGGAAGGGAAGCAGAGCTTTGGGAGCAGGAAGGGGGACTCCACTCATTCGTTCATTCGTTCATTCATTCATTCATTCAATAATCCTTTATAGAGTATCCACTATATAGCTATACAATTAGGAGGAAAAATGAGCCATAATCAGTCTGGAAAGTTGTAGAACAGATGAGTTGTGGAAGTACAGAGGATGAAGACATAATTCCACAGGGGATGGGAGGAAATAGTGTTGTGGAAGGCTTCCAGGATGAAATGACATTTGAGCTGAGTCTGGAAAGCATAACTCAGATTAACCAGGTTTATGGTGGGGGTTGGAGATAGAATGAGAATGAGAAGAAGGTATTTCAGGTAGCATGAATGGCCAACAATAATGGGGAAGGTTGAAGGTTGAGAATTGGCTGTCTTGTGGAACTTCGTTCAGGGTGCCATGCAATGCTTGTAGATGTGGTGGGAGATGTAGGCTGCAGAAAGAAGCAGAGGTCAGTGTATATAAGGGTGGGAGTGGGAAGATCCTCTGCAGGTTCCTAGGAGGCAGAGGTTGTGGAGTTGACCAGGTGGATCTTGAACTTGTCTGGACCCTGGCAGAGGAGGTGATCACTGGACCTATCTTTTGATTTACTGAACGGACAGTATGAAGAAGCTGTGGACTGCAGTGGAGTAGAGTGGACAGCTCAAATTGACCTCCAATCCTGGTTCCGCCACTTACTCTATGATTGTGAGATGCTCATTTCTTCAACCTAAACTTTAGAGGTAAGTTTTTTTTTCCTTTTTAAATTCTCTCAGGGGATTTTAAGGCTTAAATGAGGTAACAAGAGCGCATGAAGTGAAGTCCAGACATCTTAGCTCACTCCATGGGTCTTCCAAATTCTTATCTGGCTTTCTTCTTCAGCAGTGCTCCATGTATCCCTGAGGTACCTGCCTGCAGTTGGCCGCACGCAGAGCTTCCCAACATTCAAGGCAGCTCACAGTATTAGCTCTCATCAAAGGCTTCCCCTTATCCCCACCTCAACTTAATCAAAGTAGAATTCTGTTCCTCTAGGCCTCCTTTACAAATATTACTCACACTCAGCCCCCCTGCTGCCCTACCCACCTGAGTAGCAGGAGCAGCCTAGCCCCACAGCCACCTCCCCTGCAGCCTGCCCACAGGACAAAGCCCAAGAGGCCACACCCAGAGCCGTTCCTTCTGCCTTGTCTGTCTGTATCCCAACCATGGTCCAATGTTGGAAGAATATGGCCTTTAAAACCATTAAGAGGGAATAATAAGCAAAAGGAGAGCTGCTTTCCTTTTAAAAACAAAAAACAAAAC